AACAATTTATCTCATTGAAGTCAAAACACAAAGCACCCAGAGAGAGACAGAGAGAGACAGAGAGACTGATCCGGATTCTTGTTTACATTAAGGTTACGTTGCACCACTCTGGCACTCTGGAACTTAAAGTGGGTGTAAATGCACTTTAGTAGAAAGCTATTAAAAATGTAACTCATTCCCACTTTCAGATACCTTGATGCTGCCAAAGTAGTGCAAAGTTAACCTTAGTGTAAATGAGAATCAAGCCCTTTCTTCAAAGAAACCCTTTTAGTAAGCGGGTGTTATCTCATGTTGCTTGTTTGTCTTCAGGAATCATATTGCTGGAAAACGCATTAGCTCAAGACAGTTAACATAAACAAACAGAAAAATCCACATACCAATTTGCTTCTGTTGGAAGAAAATAGCTCTGTAGTGGATGTAACCTCCACAGCTGAAGGAAGACTGAAGTGTAGAGTTCAGAGTGACTTCCCTATGTTCCCTGCTTCCCTTAGCTACCACCTCCTTCTAATGACACTGTAGAAAAATGGAATAACAGTGTCTAGCAAAAACAAAAACAACAAGGAGTACTAGTGGCACCTTAGAGACTAACAAATTTATTTGGGCATAAGCTTTCGTGGGCTAAGCTTTCGTATTCAGCAAGAGGAAACTGGAAAACATTTCCAGATTTCTGTCTTTATAAATCCAGCATCCCACCAAAAATAAATTCTAACCATATGAATGAATCACTTTAGGTCACTGTCTGCAGGGAAGCAGAGGGAGTTGCTGTTGAATGGAAACAGTTGCATGTGTAGCATTCATAAGGGAATGTTAAGTAATACATGCTGCTTTCTGATATGCAATGGACAGATTGCACAGTATGTCTTTGGTGTGCAATTTTGGTTCATAAAAAGTAATATTAAATTAGCAGAAAAGCATTTAAGAACTCAAAGGAAACATTTTCCAGCACTACAGTGAGGTTAAATCAGACATTCTAGTTATTTACTGAAAATAGATTTTTTTCTTTGTGTCTGAGATGCATGAAGCCAACAGATACCAGGGGTCAAATCCTCACCTGGTAGACAGCGTGTTTTAGTGGATAGACCACCAGGAAGGGACTCAGGTGAGCTGGGTTCTTTTCCTGGCTCTGACACTGGCCTGCTGGGAGGCTTTGGGCAAATCACTTCACTTCCCTCTGCCTTAGTTTCCCCATCTGTAAAATAGGCAAAATTATACTGAGTTTCTTTGTAAAGCACTTTAAGATCTACTGATGAAAAGTGCTGGGTTTTATAAGAGCGAGGTGGCATTATTAAAAGTCAGTGTGCAATCCCTCTTGACACCAGCTGAGGACCAGGCCCCCTATTGTTACACAAAAACACCCAAACACAACTCACCAACAGACGCTTCCTGTTAATATTAGCATTAATACTGGGACACATCTTGAAGCCCTTATTTATTTCTTAATCACTCTTTACTCAGGCAAAACTCCCATGGGGTCATGGGAATTCTACTTGAGAAATAAATGAATAAGAAATAAGGACTTCAGGATTTGGCTCCTTTAGTTGTACCCTCTGTGTCATTGAAACATTTCCTCCTTTCTCTGTGAAGTCAACGATAAATGTACCTTGTAGATGTGCCTCCTTTATTAGGCGTTCTTTTATTCTGGAAGTGTTTGAATGGGAAAATATAGGTCTAGTTGTGTAGCAGATCTCTTCAGTATTCTGCTTGGAGTGGCACATAGCATGTCTGCAGGGTACAATGCCAAATTTGGATATTGTAAGGCAGATAGTTCGAGGGCCAGATTCTTGGTCCTGCTCCAGTTCCCTCTGTGCTGCTTCAGCAGTGCAAATGGGGACTTAAAGTTGCCTTAATGAGACAACTGAAGATTCTCCCTCTATAAGGGAAACTTGGCTGGTACAATGCCAGTGTTGTCAGTGTGGGAAGCCTTCTGGGGTCTGTCAGAGTGCAATACTGTTTCAGTCAGCATAAATTAGAGCAGCCCTGTGACTGCTCTAGTCAAAGTGGATAAAAACTGATTTAAAAAATATATTTAAATTGGAGTTTTAAAAAAATAAATCTATTTAAAATTAATTTTGGAATAGATAACCTATGATAAGGCCTAAACTAATAATCTATTAACATAATTTAAATTAAAATTTAAAAATATTAAATGGTACTTGTTTTCAGCCAAGTTTCAAAATTAAACCACTGAACTGGTGGAAGTTGTTGGCTAAGCACCTGGAATCAGAGTCTACTCAAGTACTAAACCAGTTTTTGACAGCTGACACTTCTTCTGTAGGTGCAAAGAGCATATTTTCTTCATTTCAATTTATTCAACTAGTTCAGTTCAGTGACTAGTTCATTCAGAGTTAAGAAACTTCCTGGGAATTGAAAACACAGGAAAGCTTGTTTTCCTTTTCCAATCTTTGAATAAAAACTAGATGTGAATGGATGAGATCTACTAATTTTAAAATCTTGACAAGATGACCAGAAACAATTCAATTCACTAACTACAGATACTACTTCCTTTGTTTAATATATCAGTTAGTTTTAAATGCAAAACATGATTTCATAAACTTTTTCTTGTATGTATTCAGCACAGTTAAAGTAGTTTTGTTTAATAAAAAATTAAATGCTGTTTTTATGCACTGTAATTGAATTTGAATTTTCATTAAAATAGAGCTTGACACAAATTGCAAGTAAGTTAATCGCCATCTAGTAAATATGAAATGCATTATCCACCATTTCCTAACATAATAGAAGAGAGAAAAATTAAGAATCTGAATAAATCTACGTTAAGCTCTATAATTGCTTAAATAAATGTATATAGATATAGTGTATCTTCCTGCTTAGCAAAAAGAAGCACCAAATTTAGCATAAAGGCTATATTTAGTTGCCAGTCAACATGTATTATTGGTTACCAATGAACCAATGAGAATTAACCTTTCTTTAGGAAAATAACTACAAAGTATAAATGCAAAACACAATTAAATTTGATTATTTAGTTCAAGGTTTCCTGCTTGTTGGTTTAAATCACGATTTGAAATCAAAGATTTAAATCACTGATTTTGAATTGATCCACCATGGCTTTAATATGTACCTGGATGTGGTTTGGCCTCTATCTAACTCCAAGATCAAAAGAGGAGTAAAGGTGGTTTATAGTCATTTTCCCAACCACTGTATTGAGCGGGTACACAATACAGTTAAGGATCCAGCCTGTAGTTAAGAGTATACAAACATTAAAAGAGGATTTTTTAAAAATAATCCATTATACTCCACTTAAAAAAATCCATTATACTCAGATTTTCCATCACATCACTTGAAATCAAACGGATCTTTGCCCGTATTTAGAACTCACTGCCATGCAATAGCCAGATTTGGCACAGTATATCCAAATACATCAATGTGTTCTCATTTGACACCTTGGAAGCAAAATAATCAGTGTGTGTGAGTGCAGAATTTTGCCCTGATTCTGGCAGAGTATAATCTATTTTATTCACAGTCTGGGGTTTTGTGGGATCCAGTTAGAGCTAAACAACCATCTTAACCTTCTATAACTTCCATTGACTTCAGCTGAAATCTCAAGAGCCCAGCGAATATAGAACTGGGCCCCAACGCTTTACTTGTGTTTTATTTCCTTTCTGTGCCCAGACCTAGTGAAAAAGGTATGGTGAATCTGTACTATTTGGGCATTTCATTATGGTTTCATGCAACTCATTAACTGCTGCTAGCATTTTTACAGTGTGACTATTGGATACTGTTATAACAGTTTAAAACAAAGTTAATGAAAAGCCCCATTCTTCATTTGCTTTCTTGTCCTCTCCTGTTATTGCTGGGAAATTCTTTTACTTTGCCATGTCATTTGTGTTTCTTTGGTGAAGCAGGGTCAGTTAATGAGGCTTTGGGGCTTTTATTATATATAATAGTAAGGGTGGCATTATGCCAGGGCTATTTTGATCAATTAAATGCATTCATGAGCAACACAACTCATGGAAATTTTTTGGAAGGGAGATAAATACTTTGGGTTGTATGTGATGAGGAAAAGACAAAGGGGATTATTTTCATGCAAATTACAGATCCTGGGCTGTTCCATAGTGAATAAGATGGTTATATTGAAAGGCAAATGAGTTATAATGGCACCATCAATGCTTTGGTTTAAAAAAAATTTTCATTTTATTTATTACACATTTCAAAATAAAATGCAAAACAGAAGACATATGGGAGCTAAGATGCATGGAGAAACAACCCTTCTGAAGGAGATACTTAATGAATGTTAGCCAAAGTACAGATTACAGTTGAGAAGTCGGGTAAAATGGTTCCTCATCAGGATTACTAACTATCTCAGGTAGTCCTAAAAATTTTTCCCATTGTGGGGGTTACTGATTTTAAGGAAAATTTATTTAAAATAAAGTTTATTCTTATTTGCAAAAACTCAGATAATATTTTCTAAATTAAAGCATACCAACTGCCAAATTCAATGGAGATTAATTCAATTCAGTAGTACCAGGAATGGATTTGGTCCAATGAATTTAAATCTAAACTCTAAACTGAACCCTTTTAAAAAGATTCTTCATTTTTGCAGGGCTAATTTTAGCCATGCAAGACAATAAAACAAATTATTTTTAAAATCTCTATGTTGCTTTATGACTCCTGCAATGTCTGTTCTGCTGTCCTAAGAATTTGGGTGCTGGTTAATTGACTAATATCCACCCTGGAAAGGTAGACTTTAACTATCTGATAACCTGGAAAAGGATAATATCCTCTTTCTGAGAAATGAAGCAAATTACTACTTCAGGTCAGCTCTCTGAATAAAGCAGTCATATTTAATAGTGCTTAACTCAGACGTGGGCAAACTATGGCCTGCGGGCCACATCCAGCCTGCGGGACCGTCCTGCCCGGCCCCTGAGCTCCCGGCTGGGGAGCCTAGTCCCCAGCCTCTCCCCTGCTATCACCCTTCCCCCGCAGCCATGCCGCCGTGCAGGCCGCGCTCTGGCCCGCCGCTCCCACTGGGCAGTGTTGGAAGCGCAGCTGGCTCTGGCTGGGTGTCGCGGCTACGAGCTCCTGCTGCTGGTAAGGGGGCGGGGAGCGGGGGGGTTGTGTAAGGGAGCGGGGGATCCTGGGGAGCAATCAGGAGGGAGGGGGCAGTTGGATGGGGCAGAGGTTCTGGGGGGGGAGGTCAGGGGATGGGGAACAGGGAGGGTTGGGAGTGAGGGTCCTGGGGGGCCTGTCAGGGGGCGGGGATGTAGATAGGGGTCGGGAGGGCAGTCAGGGACAGGGAGCGGGGGGGTTGGATAAGGGGGTGGGATCCCGGGGGGCAGTTGGGGCGGGGGGTCCTGGGAGGGGGTGGTCAGGGGACGAGGAGCAGAGGGCACCTGGATAGGGGGTGGGAGTCCCAGGGGGGCTGTCTGGGGGCGGGGGTGTGGATAGGGGACAGGGATCCCAGGAGGGGGTAGTCAGGGGACAAGGAGCAGGGGGTTTAGATGGGTTGCGGGTTCTGAGGGGGGCAGTCAGGGGGCGGGAAGTGGGAGGGGGCGGATGGGAGGGCAGGCGGTTTGGGGAGGCACAGCCTTCCCTACCCAGCCCTCCATACAGTTGCACAACCCCGATGTGGCGCTCGGGTCAAAAAGTTTGCCCATCCCTGGCTTAACTGTTCTTTATGTCCTACGCAGCAACTATCTGAGTGACACCATCTTTGGCATGGTCCGATGACACATTTAATCTAAAACATCTTCTTAATGGAATGTTAAGGGTCATTTA